CCCCCTCTTGTTTCCGGAAATACGTCAGAGTATAGAATATGGGATGTCATAGTATAAGTCTATGGCCCGCTCGTAGTGCGTGGAAACGGTGTAAACAATCATGGCGAAATAACCAATATCACTGTGCCTGTGCTCAATGCATACTATTCACACATTTGTGACGTAGTTGGCAGTTGTTGGCACTGTGTATTTGCTCGTGTGGCTGGATCAAGCATACCAGTAGACGGGGGCTACATTTTATGCTAGCGGCTCCTGTTTTTGCTTAGTGTGGAATTCAGACCAAGAAATATTTTGTGGTAATGTCGACAGGTCAGGAGAATTGAGACTCTCATTCTCATTCTTCATTCTCAACTCTGTTAATCATATATTTTTAGACGTGATTGGTGAATTCCAGAGAAGCTGAGTAGTAAATAATTCTCCTCCTCGCTTTAGATAGATCTAAATCTAGATCTAGTTTTAGATCTAGAATCTAGGTTATCGGATCTCCGTCATTTTTGGCACCAGAAAATTGACTTGTGTCAAGTTGAATTTCAGTAGTAGGCCTATGGTTCTTGATTTAGACCTAGAGTTTAGAGTCTGCACTCGGTTGTTTACCCGTATGTTCGGATGCCGCCTTTTTTTGTTGTTGCATTCTTTCGTGTTCACAAATGCACATCTTGATTTAGCAAAGTTTAGCAAACAGCTTGACGTCATTCGTTATGTAAGCCTCTAATTTGTCCACATCAGGATCTCGAACCTGTGTCTTGCTTGAATTGAAATGTTGTTAGTAATGTTAGGGCCTATAGTCCTGTAGATCTAGCTAGATCTAGTTTTTGTCCCATATGGTCTATGATAAATCTTGCATTATGTTATCAAGCTTTAAAAATATTATTGTAGACTAGATAATTTGAACTATTAAAACATTTCTTTTTTTAATTGGGGGTAGAGATTGGGGTATTGCACAGCTCTCTGCTGTGTTGCATTCTTTTTGTGCTAATCTAGATCTAGGAGAGATCCCACTGTAGACCTACTCTTTAACAATGAAATTATTTTCCACATTTTGACCGAATTTATTTCCAGATCTCGTGAACACACGTAATGGTTATTATAACAGCCTAAGAAATCCTATAGGTTACGCAAAATATTTCTAAAATGGCTAAAACTGTGTCAAAAGTGAAAGAGGATTAATTATACATTTATTTAAGGATAAGTGCCTATTTGCAACGCCGCGTTGTGATTAGCGCCAGTGCTAAATAAAACGCCACGTTGCGATTAGCGCCAGTGCTAAATAAAATGCTGTGTCGCCGTTTGTGAAATATTAAGCTTAATCTGCACTTTGTTATCGTAAGTTCTGATGGCTGAAGTGACAGCGTGTCTGCGCTTGAAGTCAAACCATTATTTTTTTAACGTGGGTTCGATCCCGCCGGTCCTGGACGGTTTTTTTTGCTTGTTTTTTGTTGTTGTTGTTGTTGTCCTCTTCTCGACTGACCAACAAATTGTTGTGTAGTGATGAAGCATGCACATTGATGTTTTGCCGTTAGGTATGATATCTCTCGCTCGCCGCGCATCAAACATAGCTTTTTTATCTAAATTTAGATCTGGATCTAGGTCCAAATAAGCGGGGTGGGAACTATTGAAAAGGCGCCCAGTTTCCTTGTTATTCCACTCGGACATTGTATTAGAACTAGGCTAGAAGACTTGTGCAATAGTAAAACTGGTAGCGTGTAGACAAAAATAAATAAATAAACAGCACTGTCTAGATCTACTGTCTAGAATAGTCTAGATGAAGCAATGGTGTGTAGTCAGTGTAGTGTGTAGCCCTCAGTTGACTCCAAAACATCTCGGCGGTACACGTCACACCACGTGACACATTATTTGCCTTCACTTTCAAATATGAAGGGGCGGGCCGAATGGGAAAACAAAAGAAAGCACACAAAAAGAATTGAACTTCAAAGAAGCCGCTCCCTCGTGGTCACTCCTTCAGTTCACCAGCCGGCAAATATCTGGCGTCGCCAGATATCTGGTGGTTGGACGGAGAACCCTTCGATATCGAGAGGATTTCTTGTTTCATGCTCAGTTTCCATGTGAAGTTGACAGAATGCCAGCCATCCTCTCGATATCCTACAGTTTGTCGATCAACGAACTGTATATACATCTAAATGGGGCTTAAGCCTGTTCATTTGCCTTCCTTTTGGTGAAAAAATATCCGTACATGTTAAATAGAAGTTGAAATTTTCGCAGTGGAAGGAGGTCAGGGTCATCTGGTTTCAGAGGTAAAATTGTCGAGAAAATGGCCTGCCAAAGTTTGGTAACTTCCATAGCCTGAGAGCCCTTGGAAACTGAAAATCTACATTCTTGTGCCCTTAATCAATATTTTTCTGTAAAATCCACATAAAAATGTGTTTTTAAACGTACAAAAAAGTTTTGAGCCAAAAGCAAATTTTCTATAAAAATTGCCAAACTGGTGAAAATGCCTTTCTCTTCGATTTCATTATATGGGAGGCATTTTGGTGAAATCAGGCTCTCGTCAAAATAATGAACTTGAAGAAACAGACTATTTTCTATGTGTTTGGTAATTTTTATTAACATTTTTGTTGTTTGCGTAATCTTTCATGTCCATTTAAAAACACATTATCTGTGTAAATTTTGCTGAAAAAAATGTAATTAGAGGCGGGAAAAAGATTTTAATTTTTAGTTTCCCAGGGCTCGCCAGCTAAAGAATTTATGAGGCTTTGGCAGCCATTTTCTCTGTATTTTTACCTCTGAAAGCAGGCTACCCCAACCTCCTTCAATTGCAAATATCCAGACTTCTATTAAATATAGATGTTTTCTTTTTTCACTGAAAGCAAGACTACTGAACAAGCTTTAATATGATACCATTAACTATGCCCACAATTGACGCACCCCTCATCCCACCGCATCATGACCGGTATCATTTTAATAACCACCCCCAAACCGCCTCTGAATACACTTCAAATGTTGTCCTAAAAAAGTGGAATAGGAAACCATGTGGCTAAATTCTGAACTTCTGTAAGATGATATAATTTTTTTCCAGATCTCATGAAATACATAACATTGTATGCAAAATATTTATGAAATTGCTAAGACTGTGAGAGAGGCAGTATTTTATACACTTATCTAACATTTCAGAGTGGAAGCAAATCTACGGCTGCAGCCTAGAAACCCTTCATGCACTCTGCGATCTGACCGGACGCTGAGACCGTCCTCTTAGAAACCAGGCTAGTTTCACTGGACGCTCCCATGTACCGTCCTCTCTGGGAATTGAGTTAAGAACGGGGGAGGGGATTGGGGGATATCGAAGTTCATGTACTTATACCGTTATAATGGATAGTTCAGGCAGTGGTAAATTATGGATGCTACTGATGGCAGGTTTAACTATCTGAAGTTCCAGTTCTGTGTAGAGCAGATGGAAAACCCTTTGCTTCTGTCCTTTGTATTCCAGATTGCGTAATTCTCTAAAGATACGTACATCTCAATACTCGTTCGTTCGGCAAACTGCTCCAAGCAGCTCGCAATTGGAACCGCTGTGCCAGTGATCGCTGCTGGCTCGGGCACAGAATTCTGTTATATAAGTCATAAGTAGTGGAAATTCTTGTTCAAAAGTACTTTTTGATCATTTCTTTGCCAAAGAATATGTGGAGAAGCAAAAAGAATATGTTGTTATGTAGATCTTTGTTTGTGGACACACACATTATAATAAATATTAATATGCACCACTGCACACAAATAGGTGGGGGGGTTTTTTCATTAGCCCTATCCATACGTCGTGTTTTACTATCGTATCTATGCAATGTGGGGAACTCTGTACCACCACTTTCCAAAGAGGAAATTTACTCGTTAATCCAATCCGTCCGCTTAGCATAGCAGTTTGTCAAATTGATTTTTTGAGAAGTACTGAAAGTTTTAGAGAGATCTTCTTACTAGAAGTATTCTAAAATGTGAAGAATACCACCCCGCGTGTACAAAATGACCCCAGGGCGAATGGATAGGGTTAATCTTGTTTCTATTTCTGCTCTTTTATCTTTGAACATTTTTTTCATTCTTTGGACTTAAAAAATGTTTTTGCTCCTTCTGTTTATGTGACTAACAATATGTGTGTTCCCGCTCAGTGTGTTTTTAGAAAAGTAGATTAAATTATTATTCATTTTCTTATTGTTGATTTTGTGTTTTAAAAATATTGATTATAATATGATTATGATTACGATTATTATTATTATTATTGTTATTATTATTATTATTATTATTATTATTATTATTGTTGTTTTTGTTGTTGTTGTTGTTATTATTATTATTATTATAATTACAGTATAATAGTTATTTAAAATTATTAATGCTTGTGAAATTTGAAAACTGTGCTATTGTGTGCGGTTATTGTTACATTTTCTTATGGCCATTGATTTTGTTCATACTGATATCGACGTTGTAGAGTGTTTGTGTTTCGTCATAGTTTTTGCTTTCTCGTTCAACTCTGCACCTAATAGAACATTGATCTTTCTTCCGTCCGCAAAAACAAAATCAAACAAATTCTGTTGCCTGTTATGTTCAAGTTACATCACTACTAAAACTCTATAATGAATTTCGAACTGCAATCCCGTGGGTGGTGAGAGTAAATATTGCAGAGTGGTACCCTAGCAAAAGGAAGTCCTAGTCGAAGAGAGGACCATAAAAAGAAAACGAAAAAAAACAGCAGGGAGGTTAAAAAAACCAAACAGCTCGCTTGTGTGGACACATGGCACGGAGACAAAAGGGGGAATTATTGATTGTATTGATCGCCCCCTGGTTCACTCCCTTCCCCCTACGCTGTGCTTACAATGGTGACCTTTTAGCGCCCCTGCCTGTGTGGTACCGGTGTCTCTATTGTTTTGTGAGTCATTAATCTTGCATGTGATCTCTGCTCTCCTCGCCCGTTTGAGTTTTTTGTTTGCTCACCATGATCAGACCAACAGTACAGGTAATTTTAGCTTCATCGTGATTTATTCTTCAACGCCTGTGCTAAATGAGAGATAACACATCTAAATAGTATGCAACCGGGACCTGTGTTAATGTTTAGTGTCAATGTGAACTTGAAGTGTGGGTGGTTGGCGAGTGCTCTGATGTGGTTTGCTCCTCCTTTACTTTCTTATCAAATATCTATCATCCTAATTATCTCCCCTCCCTTTTATTGTGTTTGTTGTTACTCTTTTGTAAAACCCCTAATTTTTTTCACTTATGTGGCGTAAAATACTTACAAAAGCCGAAAACAAAACAGAAATTGATGTGCGTTATGTGTCCACACAGTGTCATGCCGTTGTCAATGGCATGAGATGAAAGCTTGAGTCTTGCTTTGTTCACTAGAGTAAAGATTAGACTCCTTGCCACGATACAAGCAGAAGACCTTAATTCAATTTCCATGTAGGACAAGTTTTTAGGGAGGATGATTTCATCGAGTTTCTCGGTCTTTCTACTGTGATGGTGTCGGCCAGTTTCTCACTGATTTTACCTCTGAAATCAGGCGACCCCCATTTCCTTCAATCACGAATATCTCAGCTTCGATTTAAGATAGATGAGTAGTTTATTCCTCAATAGTAAAATAAATGAACTGGCTTTAAGATGATACCAATAACTCCATGCCCAAGAATGACGGTCACCTGGTTCAGCCGCGTCGTAACACAATTGTAAAATAAATCTGCATGAATTATGAAGTCAGTTACGCTTCTTTCTTTAGAAGTATTTCAAACAGTATCTTCAAGCTCTTTGAGTTAATAGAGAAAGTTTAAAGTTTAAAAAGTTTCAATAGTCGGTGGTTGGTGGGTGCTATATATCTTCCTTCCTTTGTTTATGTGTGTGTTTGTTTTCCACCTGAAATGTCTCTAATTTCCGGCACTTATATGATCTTCTTGGGTTGCCCATGTCCTAAAACATTTACTAAAATAACAGTTTTGATATCGGTTAACACTTTGCAGTCACACAGCCAGCAGTACAAAATACCCCATCTGGTCACCGAGCCAGGAGAGCGACTGCAACAGACTTCTTGAGCCTGGCGCAGAACTGCGCCAGCTGAGCGGAACGGTTAATTTTCACCGTCGCATTATTGCACCAAACCAAGTGACTGCAAAGCGTTAAGTGATAATCTCTGGTTATCTTTTAGTCTAATTGGTTACTTTTAAAGACAAGTGGGCTATCCTGAAAAATGCTGTTTTGAGAAAATCGAAGGTAAAGTTTTTGCCCCTTTTTCAGTTTCATTAAAAGACAAGGAGAGTTTTCTCTATAACCAAACAAATAATATACACACCACTGAAACCAAACTTCTCCTGTCGGTAGGGCAGTGCCCATTTTTTGTCTAGATCAAGATTTCTGGAAACACTCGAAATCTGGGTTAGCCTGCCTGTCCTTAAAAGTGACCAATTAGAGATGCACAATTATTTTCTTCAGAACTTTGATGAATATTAAAATATTATTTTGTGCTAGGGTGGGTGACCTTCTTCTGGCATCTGTGGTGTAACTGTAAGGCCAGTGGATGTGAGTTCGATTCTGGGATGAGGAGTTTTTTTTAAATGCTGTGTCTATATCAAAGAAAAGGATCTGTTTTGCCCTAATTAAGCTTTGCTAGTAATATGTGAGGCACCATGGTGAATTCAAGCGATCGTCAAAATAATGAAATCGAAGATATTGGCAGTTTTCCACCAGTTTGACAGGTTTTTTATGTAAGGTTTGTTTTTTGGCCCAACACCTTTTACGTCCATTGGAAAAGATATTTCTAAGAGGATTTTTACTGAAAAACGCTGATTAAACGTTTAAAAAATGTAAATTTCCAATTTCTAAGGACTGTCAAGCTTTGAAAATCAACAAACTTTAGCTGCTAATCTCTCACTAATTTTACCTCTGCAAACCAGGTGACCCCGACCTCTTTCAATCGCAATTACCTCAACTTCTATTCGAGATAGATGGGTATTATTTTCTATTTAAAATACTCAAATGAACGAGCTTTATGATATATGTGAGGCATCACAGTGAAATCAGGCGCTCGTCAAAATAATGAAATTGAAGAAAAAGGCATTTTTCCACGTTTGGCAATTTTTATCGAAATTCTGTTTTTTTAGCTTAACACCTTTTATGTTCATTTGAAAACACATTTCCATGTGAATTTTACTCAAAAACCTTGTTTAAAGGCTAAAAATATGTAATTTTCAGTTTTCAAGGACTCTTAAGCTATTGAAGTTACCAAACTTTGGCGGCCATTTTCTCATTAATTTAATGACTGAAACCAGGCTACCCCTCCTTCTTCAATGGCAAATATCTCGACTCCTGTTCCAGCTAGATAGATAGTTTTTTCACTGAAAGCAAGGCAAATGAATAAGCTTTCAGATGATATGAATAACTCCACATGCCCAAAAACTGACGAGCGCCTGATCCCACCACGTCTTTACACATATATAGGCCTACCAATAACTCCAGATGGGCAAAAATTTACAACAGCCTGATTCCACTGTGTTGAAACACATAGTATATTTGTAATGTAACTTGTTCATAACTTATTGCTTTTTTTTTGTTGCAAAATTTAATCATGACTTGTTGCTCATCTTTTAAGTGCTTGCCTGTGTTGTATTTAACGTTATGTTTGCTGTGTTAACAATAATATTCACTTTTTCTTTCCCTTCCTTACTCTTTCTTCCTGTTCCTCACTCCTTTTTCTGTCAGTTCCTCACTCCTTTCAGTTCCTCACTCTTTATTCTTTCTGTTCCTTACTCTTTCTTTCTTTCCGTTCTCATTCTTTCTTTCAGTTCTCCACTCTTTATTCTGTCAGTTCCACACTCTTTCATTCAGTTCCTCCCTCTTTCTTTCAGTTCCTCACTCTTAAATTGTTTCCGTCCTCACTCTTTCTTTCTTCTCCTCACTCTTTCTTCTTTCAGTTTCTCACCCTCTTGTGTTTTTTTTCTGTGTGTTTGTAACTCTAACAGTGAGCCATGTGTCAGCCTAACCCTTGAGGACCTCAGACAGTAACCAGTAAGTGACCACACACTTACCAGCAGTGCCCGGCTCAGACTACGAACAAATCTGGGAGGAACCATGGGGTGCGGGAATTCAAAATCAAAGGCGGTGGATTTATCGTCGGGTCAGAGGCCACTTGAGAGGCCGCAAGCTGTGCCGAACAGCAGCAACAACAGCAGCGGCGGCAACAGCAGTGGCCAGCAGAATGGGGATGCTTATCCCAAACAGGCAACCAAGCCTGCGTTAAGCGTTCAGCCGCAGAGTCGAGAGGTACCTGGCCACTGTATCGTGCGATGGTCCATTTCACTGGGAGAGTAGCATTGAGTCTTTGAAATAGGGGGTTGAGGGGGGAGGAGACAGGAGTTGTGTTTATATCGCATGCATGGGGATAGCATTGAGTGTTTGAAATAGGGGTGAGAAAGGGGAACTATTTTGATCTATGGCATGCATGGAAATAGCATTGAGTGTATATTAGTTTTTATGGCGCTCGCAACTGCGTAAGGTAATATGAGCACATGAAACACAAGCTGGCTGCATTCACAACAGTTCACAGCACGGCTTGGTTTAGGTCAATGATTGAATTAAAATGTTAGAAATTTATTGTAAATCATCAATCTAATGATTGATAATAAAAAATAGATAGCATTTGTATGGCGCAGATCCCTGCTCAATAGCAAGCTCTATGTGCTTCACAATCTATACTATTACCCCAGGAGACATGAGAGCTTTCTGAAACAAACTCATCTTCCTGGGAAGCATACAGTGCAAGCAGCCATTTATAGGCGCTAAAACACTAACATACTGACAATTTATTTAAGATTAAAATGACGGCAGGCCTATTTACAATCTATTGTTAAGGCCATTGGCCTATATATAATATTTATGTACAGCATGCATGGGCAAAATGTGGTCTGTTGTAAAACTACGCATAGAGCAATACGTTGTAGAGCATGGATGTGCGCACACAATATAAATGCAATAATTAATCATTGTTATTGTCATTATTGTCATTATTAAAATCAAGAAGTTGAAAACCGGCAGAACATAACATAATGTAGTAATAATGATAATAATAATAATAATAATAATAATAATAATAATAATTATAATAATAAAATAATAATAAAAATAATGATAATTATTATTATGATAATGATGATGATGATAATAATAGTAATAGTGACAATAATAATAATAATTTATAATAATGATATTAATATTAATAATAATAATAATAATAATTATAATAATAATGACAATATTGATAAATTATAGTTGTAAAACATATTACAGAACGTATTGTGAAGCATGGATCTGTGCTTTATGAATGTATCAATTGATTATTTTTATGATTAAAATTAAGAAAATGAAAGCAGACAGAATGTACTGATAATTATTCATAATAGTTGTAGAATGCCTAGAGGATGTTGAAGGATGCTGAGGATGTGCGGTAATTAAGTTAGTGCAATTATTTGTCATTATTGATATTAAAATTTTAAGAATTAAAGGAGGATAGAATAATTCATATATATATATATGTATATAGCTCATAGAGCATGTCGTAGAGTATAGATGTGCTCTAAATAGATGCAGTTATTATTCATAATGGTTTTTATAAAAATTGAAAAAAGTTGAAGAGGAACAAAATATCTACCCCACTCAATGCTATTTTCCCCCTGTGAAATGGACTTTTGTACTTCTAGCTCTTTTCAAAAAGATCGTCCTAATGATTTAAGTACATATGTAAATCCAACAAACATATACAGTATACAGTACATAGAGTCCGCTTAAACCGAAATCAGTGGAATTGTTGCTTCAGTTTAACGGAGTTTCCAGTTTAGAGAGCTTGCTCAAAGTATTATTCTTTTTTAATAAAAAAAAAAGATTAATTTAAAAATATTTAAAAAATCAAGTTTTAGTTTCTTTTGGTTCCCTACTGTTTTTCGAATTAACCGTGTGCGGTTTAAGCGGACTCCACTGTGTGTTTCATTTCTAAGTACATCTACTAATTCATGGTTGCATATTGTCTTTTTGTTTTTGCTTTTTGTGTTGTGTTTATCAATGGTTTGGGAAAGGGGTGATTTCCTCACTTGGGGAAAGCTTGTGGTGTAGCAGTGAGATGCTTTGGTGTTGCTTGCAGAAGACCCAGGTTTTTTTCCTGTATAGGGAGAATTTTTATCGAACATCTCCTTCTATCAGTTGGTAAATTTTTGGACCATTGTTCAGTTTCTTTAAATTACAAGGAGAGTTTTCTCTTTAACTAAACAAATACACACACCAATGAAACCAAACTTCTCCTATAGGTAGTACAATGCCTACTTTTGATGTAGGTCAAGTTTTCTGGAAACTCCTTAAATCTGGTTTAGCCCGCTTGTTCTTAAAAGCGGGTCACTGTTTAGAAGAAACCACTATTCAGATCTCAAAATTGAACTCTTTCACTACGGAAGGGGAGGGGTTTCCTCACGGGTACCAGGCTCTATATGTGACCTTTATTCTTATTTTGCCTACGGTTGGACAAATAATAGAATTTTTGGTTCAATTTTCAATATTACCCCCATAAGTTAAAATATGAAAATGAAGGGGAAGTAATGACCTATCTCAAAATGTTGCAAAAAACATTCTTTCTTCAGCCGAGATTTCAGATTCGATTATTGCAATATTAGTAGGTGTAGTTTTGAAACAGGAAGCGGCGAGCCGTGACGTTTTATTTTGTTAGATGGTATTACTATAATATCTATCTTTTGGTTAAACCAAAGATAGTACAAGACAAGATGGGCCACTCAGCCTAAAAAGTGTCCGCAGGAAGTATGCTCTTTGCTTCAGATGGCGCTGCAGTCTGTTTTGAAGCTCTCTTTCGTTTTTCCAGAAGAAGAATAAGAATAGCACCTCCTTGCGTGCGCAGATCGACTGCTGTTCATCAGCAGTTCGGGTACGTTCAGTGCGGAGTTTTAGGGGTTTTTTTTTATTTTAATGACCTCGCGCCCTTCATTCTAAAGTCAAATTAAACGAAGAAAACCATCTCCTTTTCCTCCGGAAGAGGTTTTTTGTCAGCGTAACCATTTTTAAAAAGCGTTCTTCCGAAATGTATCCCAAAACTTGCTAGTTTCACTTTGATTTTTAAAAACTCAAGTAGGGTAACTCTGTTCGCAAAGAGTGCGCTTTTGTGAAGAGGGCGCCACCAAATTTTGAGGACACTTTTTTAATTGGCTCAAAGAGAGAAGTGGCCCATCTTGTCTTGTACTATCTTTTGGTTAAATCAAAAGAAAATGTGCTGGCTGTTGCAATTAACCCCCCCCCCCCCCCCCCCCCAATACGAAAAAGGAAAAAAAGAAGAAAAAAAGAAAGAAGAAAAACGAAATAAAACATGCTTAACAAGGTTTACCATTATTAGATTATTATAAATTGTCTCGTTAAACAGTTTTTCCCCGTTTATCACAACATAATATAAGCAGCAAAAATAAGATGTGCCATTTTTTCATGCAGTAAGAACTTAATGAATATTCCTAAGAAAATAGCAGTCGAGTTGGATTATCATGATTTTGAACTTAATTAACAACAGGTAAAATTATAGGTACTAATCTCCATGTGTGGTTATCAAATACTCTAGATAGAAGTGCCACTGGATTTCCATTCCACTTTCCCCCCAAAAATGTTGACATTCCGCTACCCCAGAAATACAAAATTTTAGCCGATATTTTTAGCCGTTTTGAGTTACTAAGACCATGAGGTCAGAAAGTACACGCTCTATCTGCTCTATCAAAATCGTAAGAAAATTTGAATCTGTTGTCAAAATATTCAAAGAATTGCTTTCGAAAAAGCTTGACTTTCAGTGAACACGGGAGAGTGCATCTAGGGCAGTAATAAAAATATAAGGAGCAAAAATAAGTTCTTGTCATCCGGAAGTGCTGGCAGTGCTGCTGACACCCAGAATAAGCTCTATTTACAACGGGCAAGAAAGTGAACACGGTAGAATGCATGAGAATTATGGTTTTATGTGAGAGGAAGGCTGCTAGTAGGCAGATGACAGCGTTTGCCTGTTGCATTTATTTAGGTTTCAATTCCTCTGTCCGTTTTCCGTAACTGATGTGGCGACGACACCATTTCCAAAGTATTTAATTTGAATACCCTTAAAATGTCGCTCTGTCGTCGTAAATATTTTTCTCCTCTCTATCTGACCACGCATAGAAGAAGCATTATAATTTCATATATGTTTGTGATTTGTTAGAGATTCCTTAAAGAACTTCGAAAAGGACATCAGACTTGTGGTTTTGAATTGATCTGATAGTGAAAAATATTCAGTAATCACTGCCTACGACAAGTGACCCCCCCAAAAAAATGGGATCGTCAGCATCCAAGAAAGCCACAAAAGGCGTCATAAAGATCGCGACTGGTGGATCTTCGACTAAAGAGGAGAAGAATTATCCTCAACAGAAGATGAAACCTGTGGCTAACGTCCAGCCTCAGCAACAGGTAATGTGTGATGTGATGGGTGGGTGGGTGGGTGGGCAATGGTCAGCCTCAATTGGTTCGATTGGGGGTTGGGGTGGAGTAGTTGTTCTGTAGGTGGGTGGGGGT